ATGGATGCTCTTTGGTGGAAGGCCAGTGTGAACCATCCGACTACTCCCCATGCTTAAGGTGGTTCTTTTAAGCCAAATACGGCAGTTGTGCTATGAAAGATATGGGTTTTAACAGCGACAAACTGGTTTTCGTCAGAAGATACAGCCGCAACAACAGTGATTTCCCGCAGATGTCGTCAGGTTGCTTTGTCCAGCTCATGCATATAGCGCGGATGAATTCTCGCTACCTCTGATAGCATGCGCCCATCAGGAGCACCAGGAGTGGATGGCGGCGTACCGCGACGGCTGTCCAAGTACCAAGGGGACGGAATCGCGAATTCAAGGGCAATCTTCCTCTTTGAGCAGCCACTTTTGATCTGGCCAAACATGGCATCGAAAACCCGTGTGGGACGCTGAGTCGGCAGGTAGTGATGCCGGACAGGCTGGGACATCACTGCAGCCTAATGCTGCCTCCAAGGTCATTAGACTCTAATTCCAATTCAACTCGATTCGCGGCCATCGATGTTCGGGTGATGGGCGATGCAAATACACACTCCCAGTCAAGTCATGGTTGTTCCTTGAAGGTATGCGAGAGGCAGCAACTGCGGCCATCATGCTTTGTCGCCGGCGCCTATGCAACCCGTTAAACCGGCAGAGGTGAACTTCGCCTACCGTCACCGCAGTCCTCGCGTATAATATCTGAGTATTTTTGCAGTCGCTGGCAGCTGACCGGTCGAGAATATCACATGAGTTTCACCGCGGCATGAACCCTCGTCGTCTTGTAAGAATCCACTGCTCTACCACCTATACTCTTTCTCCTTATCCTCCAGCATGATCTGGGATTCCCAGGTTGTTGCCAAATTGCAACGTGCTACAGGAGGACTCAGTGTACAAGCATTGTTCCACGCCCACGGCCGGGTTTTGAGATCTGGAAGTTTTCTACCTCGATGTTTGGTCGAGAGACTTCCGAACGCCAAGCGCTGCCTGGGGTGCTCGGTATATTTTTGAATGCCCAGGCGCAAGGCGTGGTGGAGATAGACGGTCGGGCATTTGAGTCGTGATTATACCTGCTGGAGGAGAGCATCGAGCGACGGTGACTCGGCCGAAGAATAATGTTATTTACCATGCTTCTCGAGCATACCTTCTCCGTTCCCATGGCGTTAACAATCGAGAAGACCGATGTTTGTGTCCCTTCCAGCTATCCAACATCAATACCGTCATTGAAGACTGGCTAACCCTTCCGCTATACAGAACATTGACATCACGGCTTCCATGCAGGAGATTGATGAAGAGATGCTCGCGTACGCACTAGACTGTGCATAGTATGCCGTATCCCAGACATCCACGTCAAAACACTCAAAGCAATGAACCCTGCTGCCGAAGGTGAAGCGAACAAGTCCAGATTCAACTCAACATCCTTCTGGTCTCAAGGAAGACTGTATGAAGGGTGCTCCAGACATGAAGAAGGTGACGAATGAAGCTGATTATTAACCAAGCTTCTGGTAAAAACGTGTGGTTCAAAGGGCCGGGCATGGCGCGGTTCTCGGGCCCAGGGTTTTGGGTCCTTCGCCATCTTGAGAGATTGTCTCTTTCTGTGTTCACGCGCCTGGAAGCAAACCAGCATTGCACACACTCACTACCCTATCATGGGGGTTTCTGGAGAGCCTCTGTACCCCATTTCATAAACGCCTTGACGACCGGAGAGAACTCCGTTATGGTGGGGGTTTGCATCGTGTCCCAAGAAGACGCACTGAGTGTGCGTACCATCATTTTATTCTGATCAATCTCCAATATATACTTGGGTTTCCTGACCATCATCCAATGTCGAGGTCTCCACCGCCCGCCCACAAGCATTGACCATGATACTGCTACAAGTTTCATGCCAATATGGCGAAAATGGCCACTCTAGTTGCCGCGTGTGCTTTGTGTGTCGGCGATACATGAGAAGCATCACCACTGCTCGGAGAGAGGTAGGACATGCGACGAGTGCAACAAGCCTGCAAGGAGGGGGATTGTGACGGAGGACAAGCGCAAGGAAGAAGAATGTGAGGCCCGACTTAAGCAACAAGCAGCATAGAAAGAGGCTGCAAGCTGGTGCTAATGTGAGGGATTGTTTGCCACAGTCGGCACTTCGAGCTCCCCCAGGTATCAGCACCAATATCTCACGGTGGCCCGATCCTGCAGCTGAACGAGCAGTACATTCCAAGGTTGTCTGTGCCTGCGGCCTGATGCTTGCTTCACCTCGGCGCCCAGTTTCAGGCATGATTGCCTCGACCTTCATACCATTCACAGGTTGTTCCTTCACCATCGTCCGCTCAACGGCCACCGGACGTCTCGCAGATGCAACACCTCACTTGCGTATCCTGGTGTCTGGGCTCAGGCTGGAGGGTCTGCGTATTTCATTCCATCTGTCTTGTGTGCTCAACCTAAGTGTCAGCTCTTCTCAACCATCCTCCTGGCACTCTAACTCAATGGATGAATTCAGTCTACGTGCCATGGCTTGCGGACAAGCAGTGTCCCGGGCCAAGCAGCCTTGCAGGATTGGGAAAATGCGCAATCCTACCAGCATACGTTACCAGTCCTTGGTGTTGTCTGTCCGTATCAGACTTACCATCTCATCTCTACAAACGCAGCGTTCTACCTCGGACCCGAACTTATCGCAGACGCACCCATGGCTCCCTGCCCGTGTGAGTCAAGCACTTCACCCAGCCTCTCAACAGCGGGGGACGATGCAGTACGGACGAATGCGCCTGGCATCACGCTTCCACTGCATTGTCAGTCTTTTTCGCTTCGTGCAGTGTCTGTTGTTGACTCGATCATTGCTGGTTGGGTTATGCGCGGCTCATACCCCGTTCACCAGTACACATCGTCTCTTGGGGTAAACCTCCCCAGTCCTCCCTCGGTCTTCGACACGGCAGCGCTTTCCAAGAACACTGTGGTTCAGTGGCACTAGTGGTACGCATCTCAGTTGTCATTTATCTTCCTCCTCCGTCACCCCGGGCAAAATGAAAAGGACGGAGAAACTCGTGTCTTTCTCGCGGAGCAAGATACTACTATTTCCATACACATCCTTTTGCATGCGCCCTGAACGAGAACAACTAGGCGATTTGATACCCTGTTGAAGGATTTGCTACATCACACAACCGGCTGGCGTGTTGGATATTCTGAAGGCATCATCATTCGCACCGAGCTGCAAAGCATAGAATGGATTTTGCTGGGTGGCTGTCTTGAAAAGATCCGGAAACTTACTTCGGCCATACTCCAGTCTCCGTCATCCCATGGTCCGCCGGAGTTTTCATTCTTCCGCGGGATCTTGTCGAAGCGCAGATCAGGAAGGACAAGCCTACTACATCCAAATCAACCGAACGAGATTGGTGCTGCGGCTGACGCTCCTCTGGCCGCTTGCTTATATCCCCGAGCTCCACTACAGACTGATGGAGGTCTTTCCCTGATCCGACTCTGTCACCCTTCCGTACCACGTTGCCCTCTGTGTGGCCGCTCGATATGGGGCTCCTACACGATGTCTGTGCAGCCGATCTCGCTTTGCATCAACTTGCCAAGTACAGCAGCGATGAGGCCTACCAAATCGCCATGCCTATATTGAGCTGCGAGAACCGAAACTATCAACCTTTGCCTCCTACCAACAGCCGGTCTCGCCGTGGACCATATCCCCTGCAGAAACTCATACTTGCAACAGAATAATTGGCGTCGCCACTATATTTGCGGATAAAGGATCGCTGGGACAAATGTATAAGACCAATACATGTTCAGTCCTCCCTCGCTGTTTTCATTAAGTACGCTCAGACACCCATCAGAATACTTTGAGCACCTGCAAAACGGACGTCGTGTCTTGGTGGGCTCAACACACCAAGGAACTTGGGATCAGGATCAAGGAGTTCAATTGTCTCAATACTATGGTACCCAGTCGCTCAGCGCAGGACCCTTCGGCAACACTCTGGAATGAGATGTTGTTCTCCTTGCAAAACCAGGGTGGAGGACGTGTTCGTTCTTTGCCATCTCTCTTCTCTGTGGAAAACCATCCCAAATACCCAGTCTAAAATTCCTGGGTAGGTGATATTCAACGCAGGCGTGTGACGATATAGCGAGGCTACCGCCGTACGTTCCTGGCCCGACATCTTCTCCAGACTGTGCTCCTTTTCTTCATATGGCGCCCATCTCGGCTGGAAGTGAGCCCACGGCACAGCCGTGCGCCCTGGAGGGTTGCCTGAGCCTGGCTCCCTTTGAGCAATAGCTGAAGATAGTGTATCAGATGTTAATGTTTATCACGGGAAGCGACTCTCATATGTACTGCCACGAATCAATCGACAGATTCGAAAGACGGCCATGGAAGACAGCAATGGGCAAACAAACAGACCGGTGCAGTTGGTGTTATTGCCTCTACCATTGCAACAGTCTTCCATCCCATATTTGTTGAAAACCAGGTTCTGAATACACATGTTCCTGGACTGAAGGTACCCGAGGTTACGGCCTGAAATTTGGACTCGGACGGGTCTCTCCATGGCACAGGTTCAGTACCCGTCACAGTCCCCATGTGCTACGGCCGGTATACTGTGCCGGTTGGAAGAAGTCCTGGGCAGGTTTTACCGCCTTATCCATGGTTCCAAGCCCCTTTGCCTCGGTTGTTATGACCTTGCTGCGCATTCCAGGAAGCACTACGAGTCTTCGACTAGACAGCAGAAGATCTTGCCTATGCAAACCTACGAAAGAGGATTCAACGGCCTTCCTACGGTGTTCGAATACCATAGGCGACATTGCCTGTTTTGTTTGAACGAGGTCAAGCACCAGGAGGAGACAATGTGCATTGGGGCCATATACACAACTAAGCACGACCAAGTGGCCGCAGGGTCTGGGTTCAAAAAGTGTCTAGAGAACCTCGAGAGACATGACACGGAAGGGAATGATGGCCAGAGGAATGTGGAATATCACGGGAAGCATGGGACTCAACACTGAACGATTCAACTTGGATGCCCTTTACAGACCAAACACCGCACTCGGATACGATGCATGTTCCGCCGGGGGTGGGAAAGGCTGTGACACCAACTGGATGGGGCATCATATCCGCACGGTACGAAAGAAGATCTAATTCCTGTGCGAGAAACAATACTCTTGCTCTGATTGACCTGATGGGCGGAGGCCATCTTGCATTTACCCAGCATGCCAGCATCGAGGTGCGTAACGCTTACCCTTTGAAGTGTGCCGTTGCTCTCACTAGAGGCTAACTCATCTCTTTAGACGCGCCTGATATTCCTTGTCAAGGACGAAATAGCCAGAGACCGCGAGAGACTTGCACGTCCGCATAGCGGACCTACTCCTCTAGGATGTTTCTGGCTCTCTGGATGCTTGATGAACATCATTCCCGCCTTCCCATGGGTCTTCTGTCCAGGCGTCTCCCTACTTACGTCGAAATCCGAGTGAATATAGTACGGATCTGAATATCTGCCTCATCCAATACGCTTTCGGCGACCGATTACCACGGCACGATCTTTCTTCGGACGGTGATGGTGGTGATAGTGATGAGGACAGGGGGTGCGGCTACCTCGTGCATTTCCAAAGCTTTGCCGCTTTGCCTGGACGATTCCAGGGGCATTCGAAGCAAAGATTCATGGTTCTGACGACCTCCTGGTGCAAATGATGGTTGGCCGGTTCTGTTTGCGTGCCCGGAATCTTGAAGCTTCGGTTCATCGCCTAGTAGCAATTTCGCAATTGCAGTCCCACGGGGCACTGCTCGTACAGAAGTCGGAAGCTACCTGCACAACCCCAGAAATGCATCGACCATTTAAATGGTTCTACTACAGCTCATTCACCCTCTCAGATGTATGTGCGCTGGGCAATCCGCCATTCCAACTGGTTGATCTTCCACATGTACGTTCCAACCCGCACTACCGGAGCAAGATCGCCAGAGCAGATAGAGAAAGACACACCCCGGAACGCATTTAAACGGTCAAGTGCGTCTACCGCGCGGGCTGCTGACTAGGATTTGAAGGGGATGCGCCGACGCTAAGTAGGCTGCAAGAGACCGAGAAGACCTTGATGGACGAGGCGCTTCCTGTTCTCACTGAGTACGTCACCTGTGACTGAGATCTGGGGGGCATGATACCTAGGAAACATCAGCGAGTTGGACAGCAATTAGTATGCGTCCAATGCGGTATGATAATGCCCGGTTGGATTCGATTGCGGCGCGCAATGTTGCGGTGCACCTTGGGAGCAAGGTCAGGGCCCATCCCCTTAACAGGGGTAATCACTGGACATAACATCCACGCTGCCAAACATGTGCTGAGATTTAAACGCCATGCGACGGGTGACGCTCACTTTGCAATGGTGGTCCTCGGACAACCGTGGTTGACTGCAGTATTATGCCTGGAATCAACGTGCCCTTGGAAGCCCTCCATATCCAATCATCTCTGGTCCCATCGCCCTCTTGATACATCTGCTTTACGTGACCGTTCAACCAACGCTGGCCTCATTCAGGAAGTGGCGGCTCCAGATGATTTTGACAACAATCCGGACGAGTATTCTCACTGCGTCTTGGCTTGGATGATTTGCCAACTGCTTTGTTGCGAGGCGTCGCCTCCAATAAACCGTTGGCCACACGTCTGCTTTTGAACTGGAGGGTCGCAGAAGAGATGCCAGGCACGATACGATACACTGAACCCAGAGGCAGGACCGATGTCTTTCCAAAGTTATCACCGATAGCGGAATTCCGCCAGTATACTCTCTCGGAAGGACGGGTATTGCACTCAATAGCCCTTCCACCTGGCAGGGGCTTTTTAAGGGCGATATCCAGCTTCAACGCACAACTCGAGCATCTTCATCTGTTTTCCCAACGCGCCAGCGATGTGAAGGCTTTGAACGCGTTTCTGAAACTCAGCGAATCGGTCGAGCGCCCTGTGTTGTGGAGAATGGGCCATTGGAAGTATGGCAGTTGATCATGGCTCCGTCGTCACTCGGCCTATAAGGGGTTGAATCACTGTTGAAGATCGACGAGTTTTTGAGCCCCGATGTCGAATCGTGCTCACAGTGTGGAGAGTCGTTGGCGCGGCCTGTCCTTAACCCATCGTGGAGGTGCCTTTTATCCGTGCCATGCGGAGTGTCATTACAGCCCAGTGAACTCTATACCACTCCTCCGCTCCGTTCCGCTAATGTTGAACATGGCTCAAACGCAAACTCAATGGTGGAGTCCAAGATCTGTCATCTAACCACGCCGTCATCAATGAATGATAGCTCCGTGGCGGTTATCATCCTTTAGTCACGCCTGATAAAAGGCCCACATTTACAGTGGATGTGGTGTCGAGGGGTGGTTTCTGTCTATTGTGATAGCAGAGATGGACTCAGGACGGCGGAACACACTATCTTCTATTCAAAACGCAGTGGGAATAGTAGGCCGCATTAGCCATCAACCCTTATCCCAAAATGTGGTCCGATACTCGGGAGCATGGGAAAACCAGCAATGATCACGTCTAGGATTCTTGGGCTTCTCTGGGTCTGTGAACAGCAGTGTCTTGTTCCAGAAGTTGGCCACATTACCACAGTATGCTTGTCTTGGCCCCGGGCGAGGAGACATCCATACCTGCATTTGATAGTCCAAGCACTTCCAAACTACTTCGTGGACAAAGATGGAGCTGCGGGATTATCCCATCCACAGGCCGTTCGGGTGGATGGACCGAACAATACCACTTGTGTGGGCGCTTCGAGCAATTCACCCGCTTTGCAGGTATTGAGATTTCCAAAGAGAGCAAGCGGAAAAAGGGAAAGAGCGAGACCAGACGCAAACAACGTGCCCATGATATCCGGCGAGCAGCAAGCAGAGGTTCTGGGTTTTGCCGTGAGAGGGATTCGCTTTTCGCGCTGGTGTTGAAGCAGCCCATGACCTCGGCATTTGACTCCTGACATAAACGTCGAAGATGATCCGGTGGCTCAGAGGGCTAACGCCGACATCAGTCTGTCGCGTTCAGAACAGTTCATAAGCATTGATGGGGTATACCATGTTCCGATTTACGGGTGAAACGGGTTCGAAACACCTCAGGATGGTTCAATGAGAACAAATCATGCTATGACTTGATTCTGCTCCCAGCCGAGTCTCAGGCCCTGAGTCTTGGGCCTCGCTATACGGCTGCGAGGTGATGATAGTTGCAGGATCAGCTACTGCAACCTCGGGGGCCACCCAGACTCCACCATACGAAATGAGAATATTCCACGGCATCACGACCACGAAACGCCTTTGAGGCCCTAATCAGGAAATCTCTCTCGGCTGGACGCGACTGTTCCGGGGCCTACTGAGCGCCTACAAGAAGACCTGAGTAAGCCCGGTGATAGAATGCGGAGATTCTCGTCTGGACCATGGTGCCGCTGCCGGTCCAACGGCATGATATGGTAGTAGCGGCGCCGAAGCCAACCCAAACTACCTCAACAAATCATGCGTTCTGAACTAAGCCGAAACCATTATCTACACCAGATGCAACACGTCCCCGGGAATGGGTTTTGGGTTAGCAGCACATACTGGTGGGAGACTACGCTTACAGGGCCTACTTATATACCAGCAAGGGTGGCATAATGCTCAGCATACCTCGGGGGTTGAAGACAGGGGTGACGTACTTATTGCAATGGTGGTCAATGGATAACGCGGACAACACTTTGACACTCCGGCGGGGGTGCTCGGGCTCATAGTCGGGATCAGACTGTCACTCAGTTCAACAGGTTATGCTCCCCAGGTCGAGGTCGTTGGGTTGGACAAGGGCAAAGGGGGAAAGCCATATGCACGGATTGCAGGGATTCCAGATACGCTATTGGTACCCCATCGGCATCCGGGAGAGTTGGCCAACTACAGGCTGGAGACGCCAATACGTGAATGTTCCGCTTCATCACTGCAGGTGGCTTATCGCTCTGACGGATCCGCATGCTCTGTGGCTAACCTACCCATCATTCATATCTATGCTTCCCGTGAAAGGGATTATCTTGCTCATCTCCTTCACTTACCGAAATGCTCCAGCTGGAGATCCAATATTTCGCAACTGTCCGGCCTTGGATTACTCCTACCAAGGCTAGAACTCCCTGCACTTGGGGACTACGTGGGACGATACCTGCCTTGTCTCATTCACCAGCAAGGCTCAAGTTACAAGGATCGGATGGAGGTTCTGCAAACAGCTGGGAGGTCTCGGGCTTCTGATACAATTGCATCCGAGAAGCGAAATGCGCGTGCGCTTCATCGTCCATCCAAAAACGTGACAGGGCAACCTTTGAGAATCAGGGTTCCTCTGCCTGGAGTGTCCGTTGTTCGGACCCGAGCACCTAATCGACGAGGTTGCGCTTGTTCTGCCAGTCCATATCCATAGATGCTTACACCAGTTCCGCAGCGGGGCATGGTTATGCGCCCTCTATTCCTCGGTCTCAGTGGAGTATCTAGTGCTCGAGTCACACAGCAAATGGGGCCGCTTGCCTGCGGTTGGTTCATGGTCTTTGACCGGCGCTTACGCCAGTCCTTCGATAGGTTATGAGCCCCCATGGCTTCGTTGGACTTGAGGTTTGCTCAAGACAGTTGCTTCTCGCAGCATAGCTTATGGATGGGAATCTCTGCGCTTTTATGAGGGATGTTCGCCCTGAGTCAACGGTTCGCGGTATGTGATAGGGCGAGGTGGTGCTATGGATACTTTGCTTTGGGGTTCTGCAGCGGTTTGAAACATTAAACTTCTTGCCCGGACAGAGTTCGCGGGAGTCTTTGGTTGTGGGAGCTAGAGAGCTTGTTTGGGTTTACTACCCTACCTGTTTTCGTTTGGTGGTCTTGTCACGATGTATAACCTATGTATGGTAGTAGCTAGCAAGCTAGAAAGGTAGTAGGAAAGCATGATCCTATATTTACCTCATAATTTTCTTGTTTACATCGCGAAGGCTAGGCTGGGGATTTACCAAGCACTCAGGCAATATATACGAGGTTGGTATTGTCACTCCAAAGCAGATATTGCAGTGTCACTATAATTTTGCGAGAATACTCTTCATATCCTCTCCGCCTCCTCCTTCCCCTTTGACAATCTCATCATCCCAGTAGTTCGGATTGACAGTAATCTTATTCAGTGGGTTGAGCCGGTGCGCTCGGTTGAACAGATCCTCGTAGACGCGGCCGTCGGAACGCCCAAGGGCACTAGCGAAATCAGTTCAACAATCTCACTATGGCTCCTGCGGCGCTACTAAGCTGAGTGGAGGACTTACCTGTCCAAGAGATAGTCCGGGATCTGCCACGCATCAACCAGGCGGACGGCGTGAGGACGGATGCGGGACATCAGGTCGTTGATTCGTTCGGGGATGGCATCAAGGTCGGGCTTTGATGCGGCGTTGCAGGCGAAGACTGTTTGACGTTAGCTGTTAGGTGTACTTAGCTCATTAAGACAGATTGGGCTTTACACTCGTATCTGTCCGCTTCTAGTGTGAAGAGTGCAAATAGACGGTAGAGGTCCCATAGGACATCCGTCGCCGGTTTCGATAGATCGGTGTTTGAGGTTAGTGCTAGGTAGAATTGCGTAACAAGGACGCACTGGGATTGTGCTGGTGATCTCAGTATTTGCTTCACTTGGAATGATGGGAAAAAGAGTACCTCTGCTCAGTTTGTGGAGGTTCACCATGAGAGACGTCCACCCCTTCTTTCTGACCACGCGATCTTGGTAGGCGTCATAAGCCTACCCTGAAGTCAGTTTCTGTCGGTGGGTATGTTTTGTGGAAGGTTGATGACCATACCAACGCCGTAGCTCTATGCTGAAAAGCCCTAACCAAGTCCCAATCATTTCGAAGGATATCGTACTCGCATACGGTGTTATCCTCCGCTTGAACCCTTGGCAGATAGGTCCTAAACTGCAAATCAATCTCATCGCTCCCGCTCCCTTTAGCGGCTGGATTAAGTGCGATTGCCACTTTCTTGATCAGATAGGCAGCGGTCTGCTGCGTAATCATCCAATTGTCCCCCTCGACCGTGACCTTCGACAGGTAGTCCGTATTCAACTGGACAAGGCCGCTTCCACCTCCGTATCCATGGCCTCCCAGTGCGCGGCGACAGGTCTCGATCCCGTCTGCTGCCAGAGTTGTACACAGGCTCTTGAGTCCGGAGGACATGCTGTGCATGTACGCGAGAGAACCAAAGTCGCCGGATTCGATCTCCTTACGTGTGTTGTTGTAGATATTCTGCATAGCTAGCCCGGTATAGTGAAGCGCGAATGTCGTGGCAAGTAGAGGTAAGATGCGAATCTGGACGGTTGGGTAGTCGAGTACTGGCAGCTCGGTGCTTTTGTCATCTGGTGGACTGTCGCGGTCTGCGAATTGGCGACGGATAGCTGTGTACCGGACGGCAATCGTCACAGCCCTTGCAAGAACCAGGCGGGCGTGTTGGATTATTTTCGAGCGCATGTATGTGAGGGTTCCGTATACGACAGTTGGCTGGGCGGGTTTCGAGTAGAGCCCTGTCTCTGGGTCGACGGATGAGTATCGGGAGAGTAAGGCAGAGTGCGGGATCCTGATAAATGGAAGTTAGCAGCGCCATTTCCAAGTTGACGGAAGTGATGATTACCTGAAACTATCAAACAGCATATACGCGTTGTCCATGCTCGGATAGCCGTACTTCGGTCCAATGTCGCCTATAACAATCCCCTCAAGCGGCTGATGTGTCTTGAGATCGCGCACCTGGACCAGGAACGGATGAGGGCCGTATGAGACATACTTGGTCTCCTTTTCATTCTGTCCCTTGGCCTTGGGATCGGGAAGCATCAACTGCGCGACCACAACTGCAAAATTCGCCGTCCGCCCCAGCGTCCCATTCCACCATTTACTGGCCGTAAGGGTTGGACTATGCAGGACAAACTCCCTAGTGGTCGCATCCCACCTTGCCTGACACTCCAGTCCGCGCACATTACTCCCATGCCCAAGCTCCGTCTGCGCATACGCCCCGATGATCTCCCACTTTTCGATCTTTGGTAACCACTGCGCTCGCTGTTCGTCGCTGCCTTGCTCTCTGATTGTCGTCACAAACATTCCCATGTGCAGCATGTACGGACTGACATCGTCGACGAGGTACTCCGCCATCTCATGTTCGGCGTGTGTCCAGCCATGTTTGTCGGCGAGGCGGCGGAGGAGTTTCCCACGCGCGAGTGCGAGCTTGAAGCGCTCGGGCCGGGAGATATTTGCTTGTGTTGACTTCTTGAACAGCGGCTCGGAAAGGATAATCGGAAGGACCTTGGACTGGCGTTGTAAGAAACCATCATGGCCGAGAAGGTGATTTGCCAGTTCGTTGATTGAGATGTTTGAGCGGGCACGCTCAGCGGCGAGCAGGGAGGGACCGCTGGGTTCAGCTAGGGTGAGGGAGTCTATGAAGTCAGGCATCTCGACAACTAGAGAAGGTACAATATGTCCGAGCTTCTGTGACCATTGACTGTTCTAGTTCAGGAAGGCAGCATACCTTTGGTATATCCTCCCCACCTTTCGCATACCCGAGGAAGCTTATACGAAGCACCGATAGCCGGCGGGGCTGCCCAGCCTTCCAATCCGGGGTAATCGGCGAGGATCATGCGGGGTAGAGCGGAATACCAGGGTGAATTATGTTTTTCTGTTCTCTTGATGTTTGCGGAAATGCTGAGTTTATCGCTTTCAGAGGTCATGGTCATGGTCATGGATCCGAGGACTGGTGACAGAACCCTCACTGTTCCACCACATACTGGCGACACCGTCCTCCCAAACCTGCCCTTCTTCGAGAAACTGCTCCGCTATGCGCATCGCCGATCGCCGCCAATCGCAATCAGGGACGTTAATGCCGGAATCGAGAGAACATATTTGCAGCTTCTGACCGATGCGATCGCCCTGCGGCGGGTGCTAAAAGGCACCCTCAATCAGAAAACTCTGAAACAGCTCGAGAATGATGAAGAGGTGTTCATTGCGCTAGTTGCGCCAGGTGGGTATGAGTATGCCGTTGGGTTCATCGCAATTCTTGCTTTGGGGGCTGCCGTGGTGCCAATAAGTAAATTGACCTGGACCAACATGAGCACCTGAAGGAGTCGTTGCTGACTTTGATGCGTAGCACCTGCTCTTCCCGTGCAAGAAGCGAAATCGCTTGTTCAGCGCGCTCAGTGCGTTGCCGTCATATCCTCGAACGATGCAACGCCCCTGGCGCAGGGCATCAAGGAAGCCATCAGAGCCTCAGACCCGAACAAAGCCAACCTACCACACGCGATAGTCTCCCATTCCCTACAACGAACCCAACTGCCAGCTTCCTCCCTTACAATCTCGTCGAGCCCCGTCCCAAACATGAACAACGCCGGCCTGGTCATCTTCACCAGCGGGACAACCGGTCCACCCAAGGGTGCCGTTCAACGAAGAAGCTACATCAGCTCCGCAGCCGAAGACGTAGCCGATCATTATCGCCTGAATGAATCAGACACAGTCTTGCATTTGTTGCCAGTTCACCATGCCACTGGGATAGGTGTGACATTTTTACCGCTGCTTGTCGTCGGTGGGTGTATTGAGTTCCGCAGTGGGAGCTTCGATCCCGCTTGGACATGGGAGCGCTTAAGGCGCAACGCAACCGCGAATGGCTGCCAGAGGCTTACTGTCTTTTCTGGCGTACCGACGATATATACGCGGCTTATGCGATATTTCGAGACGCATATTGCCCCCTTGCCGATCAACGAGCAAGAACACTATATTGCTGGGGTGCGAGATGTAAGGGTCTTTCTCTGTGGGACTTCTGCGCTCCCGCGACCGATCCAGGATTTCTGGACGAGAATGCTTGATGGGCGGCAGATTCTGACGAGATACGGCGGGACCGAGTTCCACACTGTGCTCAAAGCTGATATCGATGGTTCGAGTCCGGCGAATAGCGTGGGACGGGTCTCTCCAGGCGTTGATTTGAAACTGTCAAATGAAGGAGAAATACTTGTCAAGGGACCGAATATGTTCTCCAAGTACCTCAACGCCCCGGAAGCGACCGCAAGCGCGCACGATGAGGAAGGTTATTTCAGAACAGGTGATATTGCATTTAAGTCAGGAGAGAACTACTTCATCCAAGGGCGCGCTTCGCTCGATATTATCAAGAGTGGGGGATACAAGATCTCTGCACTCGATATCGAGCGGGAAGTACTGGGGTTGGAGTATGTGTCCGAAGTCATGGTTGTTGGTGTCGAGGATGAGGAGTTTGGGCAGCGGGTCGCCGCCGTTGTTACCCTGAAAGATTCAATAGAGCCTAGGGGGTTGAGATTGCAGGAGTTGAGAAAAGACCTTAGAGGCGTGCTTGCTGGGTACAAGATGCCAACTGTGCTGAGGATAGTGGACGGGGAGATACCGAAGGGTGCAACCGGCAAGGTGCAGAAGAAAGTGTTGAGGCCCAGGTATTTCCCAGATGGGTGGAGGAGTTGCAAAGCAGTGCAAATTTGGGATCCGGTCCAGGCAAAAGCAAAGTTGTAGATTGTATTGTATTAAATACATAGGCTTCTCGGTCCATGGGAGATGAATGGCACGGTTGGCACGGCACCTTGTTGGGTGCCGATGTAGAATTTGGCTGAAGATGAGGAGCACGATAGAAAGTCTGATCAAATCTTCGCCTTCGCCGGTGCGCTCGTCAACCGTCCATGAACGTAGCTAATGCGCTGAAACTTTGTGATCGCTTCTCCCCAGAGCTCGGCTCGCAACGCCGCATAGACCCTGTCTTCATTAGCACCTCACTCCAGACTGAACTATCAAGGAGCCAGATTGTAATTACCCCATCTTTGCCTTCGGCGCCCACTTTCTCCCCATCTCCAGTGCAGCATCGAGCATCTCGTCTGGTTCTGCCACGGCATGCACAATACCATCTCTGAGTGCCTCCTTTCCCGTCCACCGATGAGCCTCCAGAAGCATCTTGGCTGCGATGTCCGGCCGTAGCTTCAGGCGTGGTAGAGATCCAATTCCATCGAAGTGCAGACCGAGATTCACAGGCGGCATTGAAAAGAAGCCTCGCTTAGAGTTCATGATGCGATAGTCGTGTGCCAGGGCGAAGGGGCACGCGCCGCCGAAAGTGTGCCCGGTGAGAAGCGCGATTGTAGGGAAGGGAAAATCGAGCACAGTGTGCACTAACTAGACCCAGAAATGAAAATTAGCCATGATCTGAGTGACCGATAGCGAGATGCTTGCCGGGTAGAATCCGTCTGAGTTCGCAAACGGGTTGGTGTCGGACTCGTCCAGTTCCAGGCCCGTACACCAGAACTTCGCGTCGCTCCCTCGCGTTATGACCGCACCTTCACTATCAGGTCCGAGTATCTTTTCGATCGTCCGAAATGCGCGGATGATTTCCTGGCAGTACCAGGTGTTCAGCCGGTTCTCGGGCGGCTTCTGCATGGTGATGACGAACACATTGCCGTGTCGCTCCAGGGAGAGATTGCGAAAGGTTGGTATGTCGGACATTGTGCTAATGGCCAGATTGACTGTGGTAGACTGTGAATCAGATTATTCTGCCCTTGTATATTGATCGTCGTAGGATGCGGGGTCTCCAGATGAAGTTATCCGAGTGCCGACCGGATCGAGAATGCGGGGAATCCATCCAGGACTGTTACGCCTCTGCGGTCATCGATGCAAAGTGCTGCCATCAGTGGTCAAGGCAGGAGCTGAGCGTCGGGAGAAGAAACTAGGATTGTCCTGCAACTTGATCGTTTTTGTCTCATTCCTTCTCGCTTGTTGGTTGCGGTTCGGTGCTGCCAAAACATATATTTTGTCAGGGAAACTGGGGCATATGCAGAAACGATGAGGAGGCGACGTGGAACATCAGCAAGCATATCGTAGGCACTTATTCTAAGCAATGGGCATGTTTGATCCGACGCCGTAAGCCCAGTTCCAGAGATATTTCCAGAGTCATGGTGCCTGGTCGGAGTTGAAGCTCTCGTTGTGTTGACAGTGTCGAGGGCACGTGACAGCGCAGCACGTGCGGCGTTCCTGCCGTTTGAGAGAACCAACTCTTCCAACAATAACGTCAACTTCTCACGACGCTTATCCATTTCACCATCTTCCTGCCGCAATGAGCTTCGCTACTTTACAATCACGCTGCGAGCTTGAAGTGGTTATTTACCATTTCAATATCCCGCGATGATGGCCTTGTTGCCCAAGAGCCGCGTGCCTCGAGCTCGCGCTCAGCTCCGTATTCAGCCACCGCTGACACAGCCACGAAGGGACAAGGCCCTCCACTCGGCCTATCACAAGAAACCGGGGAAATGCGCATCACGTTGCCGCTGTCGAACCCTTTAACCATGCTTGCTCCCATTGGCTGTCGCTTGAGGCGCTCGTGTCCAAATCAGTTTGGTCTGCCATGCAGGTGAAATTGCCCAGCGGTCTCTAAGGTCGCCGCTACGTCGGTAACGGACGCGGTCTCTTATCTCCAGACATCGACTCCTCTCAGGCTCAGATTCTCACTTTGGAGAATGCCTACGACTCGCAACGAGGTAAGTCAAGCTGTCACTAACAGTCATGGAGTATTATCCTAACGAGCCCGCTCTCAGTTCAAGTTTAGACCGATTCTCTTTAGCCTGGAAGAATGACTCCTGTCCGCGACCCCCTCGCCCATTCCCGTGCACCCTTCGTCCGTTTCGAGCCACTCGATACCCAAACGCGAAGGCGGAGATGGAGCGAATAGACCAGATATGTGAAGAACTCTTGGATCGCCTTCTGAAATTGCGTGTGAGAAATTACGAAGACCGGCCATTTTATCCCAATGGAACTGCAAGGGACGTCTTTCGCATGAACCAAGAAGGCCTCCAAGAGTTGTTCCGATCGTTGATTTTTTCCCAAAATGCAGAGGTTGATATTGTGCCGGACTTGGTACGCCGAATTGGACGAGGTTTTAGTACGATTCTTGCGGTCGTGTTTCGCATCCGACACCCCGGGGATAACAACATTCTGCGGCAATTCACGAGTCTAATCGTGCGCGATAACATCTTTTATGACCATCCAAGACTAACAGACGACGACCTCCCAATATCTCTTGCCGACGCCGACTCCCTCTTCCCTGGTCTTGCCAATGAATTTTTCGACACCCAATTTCAGTTCTGCGCTGTCACACTACGCCGGAAGGGAGACGTTGTTTACCAGGGCTATCGATCTCAATGTCCGCTGCCGTATAAAAGGCAAGAGAGAATCGGTCGGGGCGCTTTTGGCGAGGTCTATAAAGTTAAGATTGAACGGCGCCACCTCAGGCTGAGCGGAGACCGTACTGCGAACGACGAGCCGGCATGGATAGCGCGAAAGGATTTCAAAAGACACCAATCCTTTACCATCGAACTAGATGTCCTGAAGGAGATTATGGAGCAACCTCAGAAACACGACCATTTGGTGATGGTTCTTGCTATTCTGCAACATCACGACACCAACAGCCTGTTTTTTCCGCTGGCGAGTTGCGACCTGCAGCAATACCTCACCGGTAAATTCCGTGGCGAATCCGGCAGCGAACTGCGAGGCTCTATCACATTGGCGCAGAAAGCCATCGTTTTCAAACGAGGCGTGGCCCTGGCTGGTGCACTCGCATTTCTCCATGGAGGCTCGGGGGGCAAGGTTTGCCTGCACCTCGACTTGAAACCGAGCAATGTGCTTGTTTTCGATGCATTTGATATGGAGAGAGAAATATGGAAGATCACCGATTTTGGTCTGACCCGAGTGAGGAATCGGGAATACTCGAGCCTTGCGCCCGGAGTTGAGGGGATCTACCTACCGCCCGAGTGTGCCACTCCTAACGACAAGGTAACGACTCATAGCGACGTCTGGTCCTTCGGTTGTATCTTTTCGCTGGTCATAACCTATATGCTGTACGGACCTCAGGGAGTAAACGACTTTACGCTCAAGCGCGGCGAGCGCGAGGAGGGCGACTATTTCTACATCAAGCCGCGGAACTCAACTCCTCGTGTCGCGCCCGCGGTGATCGACTGGTTTGATAAGCTAAGAAGGAGCGCAGTGGGGGATGAAAAGGAATCACGAATGGTCCGAGAGTCGCTTGACTACCTGCAGAGCAGAGTCCTGCATCCTATCCGTCGCCAACGTGCCTCGGCGAAAGACGTTGAACTCGCCCTGAAGAGAATACACAGCAACTTTACCCAAGACGCTCCTCCACGGTCCCCGACCTTGGCTCAAGATCATGTAGGTCACGTTTCACTTCTAGACCGACTGCTCGCTCGAATGAGACATCGAACGTCAGAGTCAGCAGGGACTCGACTGCAGAGCTTTGACTACGATTTTGGGACGAATGGATTAGGATTCAGGTTCGCCCCACTAGATGGCGACTATCTCGTCTTTTTCTCGTCGCAGAAGATCTTGGTTTGGACGGTCTCTGAGATAATGAGGGCCTTGGGGCGGCGGTCGGAGATGCCACCCCCGCAACCCCTCCGCATACCCAATGGAACAATCAAATCCTTTGCTACCAGCGCCAACGCTATTTGTAGCAGTCTCGACGCAGATAACTTTCAGGTACCGCTGCCATGCTATCCTTACTGGAGCCTGCTTCTAACCCCCGCAGTGTATCATATACGACGTCGAGAGGTCGTCAGGATCCGCACGTGTTGGTGACGGTGTGAAAGTTTCTTACGACCACATGGGATATATCAAACGGGTTGCGATGTCTTCAGACGGAGCTTTCACTGCATTCATTATGACGGACAGGCCAAGAGGTTCAGAAGCCGATTGTAGGATCTACCTCGCCTACACTCAACATCTAATGGACACTGCAAACGAAGGGTGAGCTTCATCTGGCCTTCTTGTTGGACATTCGCTCATGTTGTGCAGAAACACCTACTCCGTCCCTCGCACAAGCCGTTCGAACTCGGTTTCTGACAGCTCCCTAATGTCAATCACCACGGCTGCCAACCTTATTTTCGAGAAGGTGGCGGTCGGCCCCGCGGCGCAAGTACGATTTTTGGATTTTACGCCGGACGGGAAATTCCTAGTGATCATCACTCAAGACGGTTCTCGCGGATTCTCCATCAGGGCTTGGGAAACCTATAGTGGAAGATGCTACAAAGACTTCTCGGTCGCAATCGAGGTAAGATGGCTCTCTTGAAGTTTCATTTACAGACTAACCTGAACCTCAGACACCTTGGGCTTTTCGAAACCTTTTCACTACGTGTTGTTTGTTCGTGACGAAAGCGGCCGAGCCTTGCTTAGCCGTGGTCTCCGACCATCGTCGAATCCTGCACGTCAACTTGGCGAAGCGGACGTACAATGACAGACGTCTCAACATCGATGTCGACAGTATGTTTGTATGTCACGACGGGCAAACCCTTGTTTTGATCGGCAAGAATAATGGGCTGCGGGCCTACTTATTGCCCCTTCATGCCCTAGACCGAGCCAATTTCATTGGGATCGCAAAAATTAACCGCTTATCCTACGCACCCGCCCTAGATGATGCCGCGGTGACAAGAGATGCGGATGACCAGCTGAAGCTGCTGATCGCTAGTTCTTCTGGGTCGTTTCTTGAGATGGGTATCGCCGCTGAAGTGTGACTGGCATCATGTCCACTTGCTCCTGCAATGAAACCAATCCCGTGCGAGTGGAAAAAACCGAACAAAATCAACGCAACCGCCCAACTCCTTCATCTGAAACACACCGTCTCGCTATGCAAGTCAGAACTCCGCCCTAAAATAAAAGTTACACCATTAATGCTTCGGTAGTGGATCGCTCAGTCCGCTGTTTGGCCTTCTGGAAGTACCACCAGTAACACAGCGTTGCAGCCGTGAGCGGGACCGAGCAGACGATGTAGATCCAGAATTGCGGGGATACAACGACATTTCGACTCTCGTCCATTTCAAAGAATGAGTTCATTCCGAGGAGAGTCTACGCGAGATTAGCGAGTGGCCGACTTGGAAATTTGCCTCACTTACAGCCATGAAGGTAGCCGGGAGATACACCAACGTTACGACCGTTATGACACGGACGGTGGTTGAGTCCCGCAGCATGAACTCGGTCTGCCGCTTTGAGATATATGCATCTTTGAATGACAGCGTGTCGGTAATATGTGCCGCGATCCGTGAAGTGCGGCTCTGCAGTGACCATGCCGCCTGACCGTATGAGCTTACCGTGGATGAGTAGTTGTTAAGCAGCTGCTTCATCATCTGCACGTCATATTTTTCGGTCGCACCGCGATCTGCAAGGGCGGCGTTGGCTTGGTGCAACACCTCAAAGGTTTTGTCAAGCGACCGGAATATGGGCTGCAGAGCCAAACATCGATTCTCGGTGCTGCGAACCGCCGTCAACGACTCGTGGTTCACCCGCAGCGGCTTGTCAATTTCAGCTGCCACCGTGGTGTTGGCCTTTATCATCAGCGATTACTCAAGTGGCCATCCGCGATACTGAAATGGAGACCTACAATGGGAAGCATCCGTCCCTCTAGGTGCTTCAGATAATCTCTCCAAGCAGAAAAAAAAGTCCCGAATAGGATGCTGTGAACGAGGAGGGGATTGCGCCGCAGTGAGGCACGCTCTGCCGGGGATAGAAGATAGCGCTTCAGACGGTCTTGGAATCGACAGTCGACAGTTGGATTGAGGAAGAGCCAGGTGTTGCTTTTGGTTGCGAAGTCGTATTTTTGGTACACCCCAGTTTGTCGTAGCACCCAGGGATCTTTCCCCTTCTCATCCAGTGGTTTCTCAAAGGCGTATTTGATGATGTAAATGATTTCTTGTAAGGGTTAGCCGGTGCCCTTTTGAACCTGGAGGGCACTTACCGAGTGAGTCGGCACTGAGCTTTAGAATAGGGGCGCTGGTGAAGCCTTCCTCGACCGCGATGCTCTTTTGGAAGAAAGACAGGGGCAACTCCAGCAAGTCCGACGAGGCGTCAATGATATCGACGACTTCCTCAAAGACGTCTCGAGTCACGTTGAGCGGTCTCCAAGAATTGCGCTGGTTGATGGATCTGATCAATTAGCTTGCCGTCCTTCAGCTCCAGCGAGACCACCTACATGATTCTCAACCCGCCTCTCTGGGCCCCATGAAGACTTCTATGGCTGCGGAGCTCCTCCAAGGAGCTCAAAGTCCTCTCGGTCACTTCCCCTGTCAGCAGGAGTTCCGTTGTCGTTGGCGGGACCTCCACCTACCTAGGTCGCCCCCATCAACATCGGTCCAAGTTACCTTGCATATCGACTCACTGGTGGTGAAGCATCTTCTTGCATCTGCGCGAGCTTGGTAATCCTCTGCATAGGGGATGATGGAGTACAAGTCGAGGGCATCCGACCTCGGCCACCTGGCCGAGGACCCCTGTATTGTGGGCGCATACGGTCGCGTCATCATATCGAGCTCCATGGTTGCCCTTTCCGAAGTCCCAGATTTAGATCAATACCAAGGTCTAGAAGGCGTTCGGCTGCTAATATACTACTCACTGAAAAAAAGAACAAAGAGGAAGCGAGTACGCCTTGGGTTTATTCAAATCTAACTACGGAGTGCGACGGTGACACCGAAAGCGCCCGCATGGCGAACACGCCATGGGCGAACAAACAGGACAAAAACACTCAAAACAGACAATGATTGGATCAAAGGTCTCAGCGCTTCTCTTGATTTGCCGCCGAGGCTCAGCCTCCCACTAGACTGTTGCTGTGCAGCGCCTAGCTCACTCGGAAATCGCCCTGTGAGACGGTCAGTCCATTCTCAGCCACCATCACAGCCCCAGTCATGCTCGATAAGGCAGTGCGCACTCACTCGAGCTCTTCCTGTGCCATGTCAGTGTAAGGACGCGCTTGATCGATCACTAGGGCAGGGATATACCTCTGTCACTTCTTCAGGCGCGTCGAACGACCAGACATCTTCGTACAGCTGGACCAAGACCGGGCGTCAGCAGGATTCGCGGCCAGTTTCCGTCACCTCTTACCCGGATATGGAAGTTGCGGCCAGGATGGGTAGGGAACTTTCGCTCAAGGAAGGTCTGCAGCCTTGCTCTCGTGAGATAATGCGCTGGCGCATCTTGTCGCCGACACATAGTGGAAGTCGAAGTCGCCGTCGAAGTCGACGGAGGCGACGACGACAGGATAGACAGCAAGCTCCCAGTCCGGCTGAAACGGGGCATGCGCCTTTCGCGGTTATTATTAATGGGAATAAAGTAAGTGCTAGAGGCTCTGATCGTGAATGAGATGCATCAAGAATGGCTATATCACGCTCTCCCCCGGAGCATGGTATTATACGACGGTCCAAGGCACCTGGGGAAGGCAACAGGAGCAGGAGGCTCTGCGATGTTGGCCCATCAGGTGCGCTGTTCAAGCTGAGAAAGGAGGGGAAGGGAGATATGCCAGACCGGCATGATTGGACCGCTTGCACGCTTCTTGCTGCACGGTGCTCGTACCAGCCACATCTTCCTCCTATCACAAGCACAGCCAAGACACTCGGCTCGCATCGGCGAGGGCCATGGCTCATCCAGGCAGGGTTAGCCTTGATTGTTTTCTTTTTCGAGCTAGACGTGAGTCGCAGCGCCCGAGGCATAACTCGCGCCGCCTCCGCATTATGACCGTCGACGTTCTTCTCGTATTCTAGTTGCGATGCCCAATGTCGACCAATATGGCTTCACGAAACAGCAATGACGACTACGCAGTCAAACTGGATGACCTCGATTGGCTCCAGCGCGCTCGACAGCCGTCCGCAAGCTGGGGCGATACTCTGCGCGTACCAACAACCGCCAGCCCGCAGCCGGTGTCGATGCGATCCAGCTCGCCCGGGTTTTCGGACGGCGCTCATGGGCCCACAGAGGACCAAAACATGGATATTGTTATTCCCAATCATGAGAAGGATCGTGTGAAGTAAGGGTCTTGGTAATTTGAGTCCAGGAATCGCGACGACACTGGCTAACATATCTGTGTCTTCTAGTCGTCGCCTTCGCGGAATCCACGTCTTCGTAAGCTCGCCTAAACCTGCCTTCCTGCGATAGTCTAACGTTGAGACAGATGATCACCTTGAGCGGAGTCCTCGGCGCCGGCTTATACATACGGAGCGGGACGGTTCTGCGCATCGGAGGGCCGGGCGCTGTGCTCATAGCCTTCACGGTAATGGGACTGCTGGCTTGGACCGTGATGCAGTGCATTGGCGAGCTGCTAGCGCTGTGGCCCATATCTGGTGCGCTTGTCGAGTTCGCCGCCAAATTCGTCGACGAGGATTTGGGCACTGCGGTCGGCATTGCATACTGGTTGGTCCGACGGCCCCTGTTTGATTCGATCTAATTCGGGACAGGTTCACGTATTCCATCAACTTTGCGGCTCTGATCGTGGCAGCTGCTGGAGTGCTTGACTACTGGGACCCAGGGAAGGCCATTCAAGGGACCATCATGTTCTTCGTGGTCCCGCTATTCCTCGTCCTGCTCAATAGCTTCGGCGTTCAGGTATGACAAGATTCAAATGCTCCTACTACCATGCTAATGAGTCAGATCTATGGACTGACGGAGGTTATCGGCGGCTCGATCAAAATTCTCGGCGTCTTGATTGTGATTGCGTGCATGATTGCAATCAACCTTGGTGGTGCGTTGATCCTCCATCTAGCCCTACTTATCTAACCCGAAATAGCTGGAAAGGGAGAGCACATTGGTACTGCAAGTAAGCTCCCTTCGCCTCTTCCCTAGGCATTGCTTACAATTCCTAGACTACAAGCACGGCCGCATGTTTCCGATTGACCCAGACGCTGTCGATAACTGGGCTTCAGCTTTATTGTAAGCACGCCCAACGCTAAACTTGGTTCGGGCTGACTAGGTAGCTACGCATTTTCGATCGCTGCCTTCGCATATGTTGGAGTGGATATCACCGCTGCGACTGCGCTCGAAGCACGTCCAGACAGACGCAAATCGTCGCGGAACAAAGAAGCCGATGCGCTCAAAGGTCCTTGGCCGTATATCTCAGTGCGCTTCGTCGCCACCTGGACTAGCTTCCTCGTGTGGATTATCTACTTTATCGCCGGCTTTCTCATGAGCCTGAATGTCGAGTGGGACAATCCGAACCTCCCGCGGCTATCGTGGCTTGGCTCGCCTACAGAAAAGGATGAAAACTTCAAGACCGACTCGGGGTTTGTCATTAGTGCAGCGATGTCCGGTATCCATGGACTGGCAGACATGTTTACGGCCGTCATCTTTATCACCGCTGTGTTCTCGGCAAACACCAACCTTTACGTCGCTTCGCGGACACTCTTCGGTCTGACGCGAAGGATACAGGGCGATGGCTGGCGCTTCTTTGCTTTCTTCGGAAAGACGAATAACTACCAGGTTCCAGTTCGCGCGATGCTGCTGTCGCTGGTCTTTATGTGGGTGCCGTTCTTGTACCTCGCGCCGCATAACTCTTCGGATACGACCATCTCAAGTGTAAGTCATGTGCCCTTAGGCATGGGTACCTGCTAACCCCTATAGTTGCTCGAGGTGCTGTCGCAGATGGGTTCTGTCTGTTGCATCATAGTTTGGACTTGCGAATGCTGGGCCTTCATCCGCTTCTACAACTGGTATGCAGCTTATCTAGCTATCGAATCTTCGCTAACGTCCGCAGCATGTACCGCCATCGGGATGAATTGAACGCCTCTCCCCAGTTCGCCCGCCTCCGCCGCTTCCCGAATCAAGGTGCAGAAGACTTGTATCCTTGGCGCTCCCATGGTCAGCCGGTTACAATGTACCTCGCACTGTTTGGGTGTATATTCGTCTTGGCTGTCGCGGATGGTGCAGCCTTATGGCATAACTGGGCGACACCAAGATTCTTATCTGCCTACCTCTCCGTACGCATTAGGCCCTTGTCCTATTTCCCTCACCTGGCTGCTAATTATCTGACAGATCGTCTGCTTCATTCCGCTCTGGCTTGGAATCAAATACTACAATAACTGGGGGAACGTTCAGTGGAAACTAGAAGATCTCTCCAATTTTGCCTTGGTGAGCAGGAAGCTTGAAGAACTGGATGAGATTCACGACCTTGCGACGGCGCGAGATTCCGAGGTGCAGGAGAAGGGGTGGGGGAATTTATGGGGATTCATGTAACGTCCTCGAAATGTATGTATAGCTGTGTCCAGAGTTTAATGTCTACGCGTCTTCTACACTCATCCCAACCCGCTCGTTTCCGAACAATAACATGCAGTAAAGATTACTATGATCGACATAAGCTGGTGAAGAGGCCTTCGCAAAAAAGACTACGATGCGGTTCAAGCCCAGCCCTGCATTAACCAGTCTGGGATGTCGTTTCAGAAACGGTTCGATCCTTCGGATTGCCGCTGGCCACGTCGCGACTCAAGAGCTCACCGACATGGCCTAGAGACCGCAGGTCAGGTTGAATGGTTGCGATCGATCCTTTAGCAAGACGCATCACGACGGCGCCCTTGAGGTCCTCAGATTCATGACCGGTTACCACTGTAGACGGCTGGCTGTTCGAATTAATTTATCTCAAGTCAACAACTACAATGTCGAACCCTTCAGAAGTGTCCTCATATGTCCATTGCCATGGAGGAGCGAATATCGCCTTGACCACCGAGAAAAAGAAATCAGCGTTATTCCATGGAGAAACCGCGAGATCAAACCTCGATCTACTCCGTAATCTGGACGGACGAAGAGAATTGCTGTATAAACAACAATCTATACGCTGACCAGTCATATGTATCTCCAGTCCATTGATCTGATCCACGCTCCATACTCCACTGACAGCGATCTCGGCCAATCAACGTCATTGTCTGCCGCCCTGGATGCCGTGGCCAAGGGCACGTGACAATTGGCAAGGTTCCGGAACACCTTTGTTCCGCCTTCTCTCTAAACTTGGACAAGGTTCTCAACCTTGGCAAAACATCCCGACCCTTTAGTGCGCACTCAACCCGCTAAAAGCCAAATAAATCCCATTGGGGCCTAACACGACTGCAGAAATCCTCACGAAGCCTTACCATGCCCTACAAAATGGAAATCTTTACCGACGGCGGCTGCCGCAACAACGGCCAACCCGGCGCAACCGGCGCTGCCGCCGCCGTCTTCCAATTCCTCAACCGCACCCAAACCTTGACACGATATCTCAGTGAGGCCGAAAGCCCGACTAGCCAGCGCGCCGAGCTGACAGGGATAATCATTGCGCTGGAGGAAGCGCTGCGGAAGTACAACCGTTTATACTTTTACCCTTACCTGCAAGTCACGATCTATTCGGATTCGCAGTACGCGGTCAGATGTATGACAGTGTGGCGTGCAACCTGGGTGCAGAATGGCTGGCGAAATTCAAATGGAGACCCGGTTGCCAATACAGATCTGCTGTGGGAGGCTCTACAGTTGCAGGAAGAGATTGAGAAGAACGGTGTTGTTCATTACGCTTGGATCCCTCGGACCCAAAATACCATGGCTGATGCTGCGGTGAATCAGCGGCTGGATCAGCGGTATTGACTGGGCCATGTCAGGTCATTCAGTTTGCACGAGGGTTATGGCGAACACAGTATTTGCCAGTCCAGAGCCCTTGTTACCTGACGAAGCGAATGTTCGAATGGAAACTCGTCGGCAATTCGTTTCCAACGTGATTTTTTATACGTGCTTGCCACGAGCTCAAACGCACTTCCTACTATCATAGGTAAGTCTGCGGCGGATTTGCCATCGATTGTTGTCCTTCCAAGAGCCAACTGACGATTTCATAACTAGACCTTCAAAGATAAACGCCACAATCAAGCAAGATCTATAGCGGTCACGTACGATATTTATACGACCCAACTCCAGGCGAGGATCTATGCTCAGTGCTCTGCAGCAGAGCAATACGCCGGACAGACATTAAGGGGCTTGGTATATTCGAAGTAGACCAAAGCCATCCATTCACTCCGCGGGACCTTCCTCTCTATCGAACATCTTTAGTGACGAAACAGAAAGAGAAGCATAAGTCTTGTCTACTGACGCCATGGTATTCTATGCAGTAATTTGCACAACCCGCCTACTCTGGATCACAGGAAACCCAGAACAGTGTCACTGCAATTCCTCGGAGAAATACCGATATGGTCTCTTGAATCATGCGTATCCCTCATATTCTATCAACGGTAACGCGGCTAGATACCAGACATGCCTGCCGATGTGGAGAGTTGACCAGCTCGGGCGACTCACCCCGACAACCTCATCGGCACACTCGGATTATAACACCCAGCATCAAGCCAACTTCCCGTAACATTCCTCACCGCAGGTCCCTTCCCAAACTCCAAAACCAGCCCTCCATTCGCCCCATCAGGCTCAAAAGCAGCCCACCCCTCGCTCTCCAACGCCCTCGGATCCTTCAAAAACGCCAAAAACAAATCCTGCATCGCAATCGAAGTATCAACCTCCAGCTCCGATATATGTCCCACATCCTTCCCATACGTCCCGAATATCATCAGCAGATCCGACCAGTGGAATGCACCCAGCCACGGCTCGGGGCTGATATTGCTGAAGTTCCCGGCCCACAGGTAGCGATACGTATCGAGGCCGTGCTCGTATCGGAGGGCCGACTCTTGCACGCCCTTGCATAGCCATTGGCGCTGTGTCTGGTCGGTGGCTGTGCGGTTCGCAGTGGGCATTTCGCTCGCGGTGTTAGAGCGGATTTCTGGGCCGCGCGCGACTTTTCCTTCGATGTAGCGAGTCGTCTCGTTTGTGAAGATGTATCGCTCGTCCGCTGGCACGACGGTTCATATCTATCAGTCTCGCCCTCTGAAAACGTCAGAGGAACAAAGGGGGACTGTGCGGAGCTCACGTATGTAATTGGAAAAGTCCAACTCCGCCTCCCCGGAATACCGGTTAATAAACTCCTCGATCTGTACCCAGCTGACCTGCCGCATGCATTCGAGTTCGGCATCTGCGTCGGTGCCGTAGTTGCAGCCCAGCGCTTTGGCGACGATATCGAAGCCGACGTAGGGGTCGGGCGTTGTGGACAGGTCGACTTTCACGGAGGGGGGTTGCGAGAGGACGCCGAATTTGGAGACGAGGGGGTCGGTTGGGAAGGCGAGGGTGTACAGGTGCGTTAGGGCGGAGCCTTGGGATTGGCCCCAGAGCTGGACGGGGACTTTTTGTTAGAGGCTCGACATCTAGATGTTGCGGGTGCGCTCGAGCTTAGGGGTCGCGCACCATGATATTCTCTGGATCACCACCGAACGCCTCAATGTTCTCAGAGACCCATTCCACCGCTGCACGAACATCAAGCAGAGAAAGCGACGTCTCATCCAGCGCCCTCGACTTCGGATCTACAACCGAGCCACATGCATCAGCATCACCTTCCCCAGAGGTGTAGAGGTTACTCACTCCCAAAAATATTCACCCGGTAATTAATCGTCACGACAATATGCTCCTGGCTCCGACTAACCCACTGCTCGGGCACCTGCGACGGAATATCAATACCGCCCATGGTTCCATGGCCGCCCGTCACAAACAGCGCGACGGGGAGCTTGGAGGTGTTATCCGCGTACGCTGGTGTCCAAACCGCGAGGGAGAGACAGTCTTCGGATGTGGACCATGCGACGGATCCCTCGTTTAGGGACTCGCCGAGGTTGATGAGGAGGTTTGGGGGCGCGTAGCGGTTGTACGTTGTTGCGGTTGAGGAGACGTATTGGGGGCATGCTGGTTTGTTTCATTTAGTGGAACAGCGCGAATATGGTGGGATTTACGCCAGACAGGGCCAAAGAAGGTAAGACGTACCCGGACCGTAGCGTGTTGAATCGTACCGTCGCGACGACTTCTCCAGTTGTTGCGGTGGGAGCCAGCGGAGGTCGCCGACAGGAGGCTTCGTGCAGTAAATGCAAGGTTAGACTCGCAGCTCATTCATTTACGTAGGAGAGAACGGATTCTCCGGGTGTGCTTACCTTTGCATACGGCACGCGGAGGAACTGCCGAACATCGGGATAGGTGTCGTTCAACGCCCCGATAAATGTCCCCGTCCGTGTTTCGACGGTGAGATTCGACCAGTTCGACAGCGTCCGGGGAGGCTGGAAGGTCAAGTTCGCATAGTAGGGGGCGAATGTGGCCAGGGAAGTTGTAGCAAGGAACAGGAGTAATAAGCTATGCGCCATCTTGTCAGCCTTAGCTATTGTTTAGCGGTGCTCCAGCTGCAAGTAACCACCAGCTACTCCGGCGAGGACAATACCAAAGTCAGCTGCAGGCGCTTTCCCCTCATTTTGAAGTCCGGGGAATTCGACAGGGGTTATGTATGGCGGCTGGATTTGGAGTAGATACCCTTCCAAGGTTTCCTCGGGACATGCGTCTACGGCTACTCCGACCATGCTGGCTTAATCTGGTGTGAAGGTTAGTGTTACCCCGCGAACTCCGTAGCCGACGTATACTCGGAGATCAAGCAGAGCATGCATGTGGCTTGCGGTTACCCCGTACTCAGGAATTGCCGTAGATTCCGCGCAGACGGGTTAGGGCACGCTAGTGCTGGACCTAAGCAGGGGGCTCGGGTTTTCCGAGTGCTACCACTGCCAGTGCTACGTACTATAGAAGTGGAGCGCCTGGGTATTGTTTTGTGGGTATCGGTTGGAGGAACGGTACCTGCATGCTACGTTAATCTACAGAGTACAGCCCCTTAATCCACGCGTTGGAGTGGGAAAATATTTCTGGATGAGCTTCAGGCCGGATCAATGAACCATCGACAGATGAACAGAGCCTACCCGGCGATACCGAGTACTATGGTTACAGCTGGAAGTCCCGGAAGTGCACGGATGCGACCGTCGACGCGTGGCAACAAGCGGGCCTGCGCTCTTCTAGAAGCCTGAAGATGATGCAATTAGTTTCGCTGGTCCAGGCACCATCTTATCTAGCCGGGGTATTTCCGACTATCATTTCAATCCGGCGAATGGAAGACAACAGCAGACATGCTTTGCGGGCCATTGTCCGTCAACGGTTGCAGACGACGATCAGCGACCGTCACAGGCATTGCTCCGGCGACTTAGGGCAAGCCATCCAAGGTTCTTGGAGCAGACTCGGAATTGCCGGGTGCCGAGTAGGTTCCGAGCCGAAACACTGCAGGGACTTGACACACGCCTGTGACGACACTGGATCTGCTCAGTGGGGACAGTATCAAATGAAAAATATCTGCCAGGGATAACTATAGTTGCCCATATATTAAGCAAGCCTCCCTAAAATTGGACGAGATCTCAGATCCAGCTCCCACTCACGAACCACCACCACCATGCTCCCCCTCAACCTCCTCCTCGCTGCCCTCCCCCTGGCAGCAGCGCAGTCCCTCTCAGACCTCATCCTCGACACCGCACCCTCCTCCCCGCGCCCCTACATCATCCCCCACTACGCCAACGCCCACGCCGTCACAATCGGCCAGCAACTCTACCGCTTCCCCGTCACCGGCCCCTCCTCCGACTATGCCTTCACCCTGATGAGCACCAACGCCCCCGCCAGCTCCTCGCTCGGCGTCCTCCCGCACATCCACCAGAAGCACTACGAGAACTTCTTCGCCTTTAAGGGCCGTTTCCAACTCTGGGCGCAGAAGGGCGATGGAGCGCAAGAAGCCCGCCTCCTCACACAAGGCGACTACGGCTCCGTCCCGCGCAACACAACGCACACATTCCAGATCGTCGACCCAGACACCGAGATGATCGGCGTGATCAGCCCCGGCGGCTTCGAAGACCTCTTCTACACGCTGGGCACCAACTTCTCCTCCGCCACCAACACGCCGTACGTCCCGGCCGCTAGTAACTCCTCGTCCTCGCCCCCGGCCGAAGTCATCGCCTCCCTCCAGAAATTCGACGTCTACGCTCAGCTTGACTTCGAGCCGACGCGCGACCTTGTCAACGGCTCTTCCAGCACTGAATCCTCATGGCACGCCATCGATTCAACCGTGACACCGCTCGGCGAACCCGCGCAGCCGTACTTCATCGCCAACAACTACGGGCCCAAGTACCTGAATTCCCGACACGGGGCGTACCAGATCGTGCAGCCGCTCGTGACGAACGCCCAGAGCCAGGATACGAACTACACGCTGTCGACGATCATCATGAGTCGGCTGCACGCTGGGTCCGCGGATAGCTGGAAGGGCGATGGAGCGTGCGCGTTTGAGGTGCTGGATGGCTCGGTCATGATTCAGATTGGGAAGTACCCTGTTGCGAGACTGGAGAGCGGGGATGTGGCGTTTGTGCCGAAGGGCACGGAGTACCGCTATTGGTCTGAGCGCAGCTATGCGAAGGTGCTTTATGTTTCGAGTGGTGAGGGGGGACTTGATAGGCGCTTGATTGAGGGGGGGAAGAGCTGGGCTTATCCTACTTTCCCGACGAGCTGGAAGAAGACGGAATTGTAGATGAGATGAGTGGATTCCGTGAAAGAGTAGGATGGCCGGGTGGTTTTGCTAGCCATCGGAGGTCCGGATTGTACAGATCTTGGAAAGAATTTCTACTTTTTTTAATGTGGACTTCGTAAACTGCATGTTCCTTAAATATATCAATGCCTCAATCTCTGCCGCCAAAGTAACTTCATTGTACCCTGGCCGGTCAATCCTACCGGCATCCTTTGCTTTTTTGTGTAGTTTGATCTCAAGATTTTCTGGTTCCTAGTCTAGACGAGGTCAATATCTTACGAAGTAACATTCGTGAACTTGCTGGCCCAATTCTAACTGGGTGTACAACCATGAGACGATGATTCCTGGCAGGAATATATTTTTGCACAGACTTCACAGGATGGGTAACGAGGCTACTGTTGCGCATCCCACACAATGACACGAATAAAACTTTAAACGCATATGCAGGCATCATACCACCACCCCAGGGAGCCTGAGATAAGAGGACTTCATTTCATCTCAGACCCGTTTCTTCTCGTTTCACATAACTTGGCTGCAACCCTTCGGGGATTGTCCGACTGTGCCAAGCAGCGCCAAGAAAGAGATAAGATAAGGGACGGGACGGGATGGCCCGCTTTCTGCCGCAGAAATAAGGTATGAGGCCCTTTGTATACCGTACTAACTAGTAAAGCTATTAATTAAATATTATAAAAAAGAATAAAAAAAGAAGTAAGTTAATTATTAAAAGCTAAAGCTACCTAGGGGTTTATATAAATATTTTAAGTTTTTAAAAACTTATTAATAGCCTAATTTTTTTACTAAAATAATAAAATATTAAGCACCTTACTTTTTTATACTAACATGGTATATAAAGGCGTTAATAAATAAAAACTTTATTAAACTTTACCTTTAGTTAATACACCCCTTTAATACCTACTAAATGCTAAAAATAAGGCTAGAGATATTTACTAAATTAAGTATTTTAATAAATTTATAATATTATTATTTAGTAAGTAGCTTAGTAAGGCCATTTATAATTATTTAATTAATAAAAGTTTATTTAATTTTAAGGTTTTTATACTAAACTTTTTATTAAAGCTATAAGTTATAAATATTAACATACTAAAGTTTTAATTAATATTAAATATTAAAGCTAGTAAAAATATTAATAATTTATTTATTATTATATTAAATTAAAAAATAGTATTAAAAATTAAACTATATTAAATTAAAAACCTAGTATTACTAGTAAGTTACTTTAAAAGCCTTAAATAAAGTAAATAATTTTATCTTAATTATTAAAGTTATAACTAAGCGCTGCTTTATAGCTTTTTATTTAATTAAATTATTATATAACTTATAAATATAGCCTGCATTAAAAAAGTAATTAAATTAATTAATAAAGGTTATATTAAAGTAGGCCTTATAAAAATTATATATTTTTAAAATAAGCTTATTTTTAAAATTATTTAAACTAGAGTATTTAAGGGCTATAAAGCATGTGTTATAAAAATAAAAAATAAGTTAATTTATTACATATTAATAATAATCCACTAGATTAACTAGGTATTTTAATAGTTAATTAATAATATAAAAAATATTTAAATAAATAAGTATGCTTGTATATTTAATTAAGCTAACTTTAAATTTTATTTTTTTAATTTATTAAAATATAGCAGTACTAGAGTTTAAATAAAACTTATTAAAAAAAAAAGGTGTTTTTAAAGGTTAAATTATTATATTTAGGTAAAATTAATTTATAATTACTTTAATATAAAAGTTTTAATATAACCAAACCTTGCGCTTTTCCCTATTTTAAATAATTTAAATTTTTAAAAATTATTTTACTTTACTAAAATACTAAAGCTTATATTTTACTACTAGTTTTTTTTTAAAAGTAGCTATAGTAGCTTAGGCTTTTTTAATAAAAAAGTTTATAATAATAATATTATTTATATAAATAAAAAAAATTATAAACTTATTAATATAAAGGCACTTTTTTTTAAAAATTATAGTAAATCTAAATTTTTATAGTATTATAGCTAAATTAAGCTACTAAAGGCATAAAAACTTTTAAAGTTTATAAATAATTTTAAGGGCCTTTAGTAACTTACCCTGCTATTTATAATTATTTAAAAAGTAAAAATATACTACCTTTTTAAGGGCAGTATTAAAAAACATGTTAATAATATTTTTTTAATTAAAATTAAGGTTAAAAGTAGCTATAAATATTATAAAAGCTTTAAAGGCCCTTGCTAAGGTTATTACTACTTAATTTTTTTTAAAAAATTTTAGTTTTAAATTTTTATGTATATAAATTTAGGCTTTAGCTTTAATAAAGTAACTATTAATATTAAGTTTATAAGTAAAAACTTATAATAAAGGGATTAGCTTATTTATTCCTGCCTTTTATTTATTTATTATTTTTTATGCTTTTATTTTATAAAAAGCTTTTAGTTTAAGATTTATAGCCTTTAAAAACTTATTATAAAATAAATAATTTTTAAAATTACTTTAGCGCTTAAAAAAAAAAGGTAGATTATTTTAATAAAGCTATTTTTTTATAGGATTTTAATAAAAAGTAAAAAAAGTAAATTAAATATAATTAAGGTTATTTAAATTATCCAAGGAAGTATTATTTAAATTTAAATTATATATATAATTATTAGTATTATATTATTTATGCCTACGCCAGGATATTTTAAAAAAAAGCTAAAATTACTAAAGTTCCACCCCTTAAGCGCGCTAAGCTTAAAGGCTAAGTAAAAAAAAAAAAGCTAGGCATGCTTGTTTATTTTTTTTAAGTAATTATTTACTTATTAAATTAATAAAAAAATATTAAGATACTTAAAGGCGTAAAATTTATTATTAAGAATTTTTTAAATAAGCTTTTAAAGCTATTTATAAGACCAAGTTTTATATAAGCCTTTTATAATAGTAAGGTTTAAAAGTTACCTTAAAAGTTAGTAAGTATAAAAACCTATTTAGCTAATTAAAAAACTTTTTTTTACTAGTAGTATTTTTAATTTTACTAGTAGTATTTTAAACCTTATTTTTTACTTTATATTTATTACTATTATTAATACCTTTTTTTTTTAAAATTTTTACCACCCGTGGCCTATTTATATTTAAAATACCTTTATTTTTTTTTATTTAAAAAATTTACTAAAATTAAGGTTAAGGTTAATTTCTTTAGTTTCGCGGTTTTAAAAAAAAATATTAAAAACTTAGGCTAAAGGCTTTAGTAACTTAATTTTAATATTAATAATAAAAAAGGGATTTTTTAAATTATATAATTTAAATTTATTAAAAATAATATTTTTACAAGCACGTACAAGCTACTTTTTAGGAAATTAAATTTATTAAATATTTAAAGTAATATAACCTAGTAAGTATTTTAATAAAGCCTTTAGTTTTATTTTATAAAAACTCTTTACCTAGAATTGTCTTGCCTAGGTAAAATAACCTAGTATTTTAATATTAAAAATACAGGGTTTTTTACTAGTAAGTACTTTTTATAGTGTTTTTTAATTTAATAGCTTAATAAAAATTTAATTACTAATATAAGCTACTGTCTTTATAACCTAGGGCTATATATTAAAAAAAATTTTTTTATAAAAAGCTATTATTTTTACTTTTTTAATTAATATACTACTAGAGCGCTTAGCTATACTATTTTAAAAAAAAGTATAAAAAGTAAACTAGTTCTAAAGTATACCTTAAAATATAGTAAAATTAAAAATATTATTACTAAGTATAGGCTTATAATTACTAAAAAAGACTTTAAAAGTAATACTAAACTAGGTTTAAATAAGCTTAGTATACTACTTAATAATATTTTTATACTTGCTTTTTTCCTAGTAAATATAGGCCTAGTAAAACTTAATATTTTTATTATAAAAGTAAGTTACCCACTTTTTTTTATTTATTGCTTTTTTTATAAAGATTAGGTTAAAGTAAACTTAATTAAATAATATAGTAATAGGATTTTTAGGCCTTTTAAATATTTATTAAGAGGCCTATTTATATTTATAAGTATTATATTACTAAGGTAGTTAAAAACTAGTAATTTAAACTTTTTTAATTATAGTTAATAAATATTAAAGTATTTTATTACTAATATGGCCTAGGCGCTAGTAAAAAGCTTTAAAATTTTTTTTAATATAGATTTTTTTAAGTTAAGGTCTTAACTTTTTATTAAGTTAAAATATTAGTCTTTTTTTACTTTAAGTTTTTTTTAAACTTAACTATCCAGAGGCTAAATAAGTAATTTTTAAGATAAAATATTAATTTACTATTTTTAGTAATTAAAGTATTAAAATTTTAAAAATATTTAGCCTTTTTAAAAGGCCTAGCTATTAAAATATTAATATAAAAGCTAAATATAAAGGCCACTTTATTAAAAATAAAAGGTATTATTTTATTATTTAAAGCCTTAAAATAAAGGAGTACTAATCCCATACCTTAAATAATAATAATTATATTTTTTACTTAAATATTACCTTTTTTTAATTAATTAAAAAAGGTAAAATAGCTAAAATTATTATAAATATAAATAAAGGCACTAGTATTAAAAATAAAGGTATTTTAAAGTATTAAATTACTTTAAATACTTATAATAAGCATATAATTATAATATTTTTTTTTATTNCATAGCTTTTTATATAATTATATAAAGTACTAATATTACTTTATTACTTAAAAATAGCTATATAAATAAAAAGGCTTGTTATTAGTTAGTACTATTTTAAAAAAAATATTTAATTTTTTACTAAAAATTATAAAGGCTACCGCTTTAGTAAAATTTTTAAAAAAGTTATTAATTATAAAAAAATATTATTAATATTTAAATATAAACTAAAGATAAGAAATTAAATTAGCACCTTTTTAGTTTAATTAATTAATATTTTATTTTATATAAAAGTTTAAATACTTGCTAATTATCCGCAGGAAGGTTATATTAGTTATTTTATTTTTTAATTTAGGTTAATTAAGGTGTTTAATTTTTTAGTAGGCATTTTTAT